CAGTGTCACTGGCCCTCACATGTGGGATCCCAACCGGGGCCCTCTGGCGTCCCAAGCCAGTTCTTAACCATCGCGCCACTTGGCCGGCCCGACATTGACTTTTTGAAGAGAACCAGACCAGCTGTCTTACAGACAGTCCTACATGCTGGTTGTTTTACTGTTTCCTCGTGGTGTCATTGACCTTGTTCCTCTGCTCTTGCATTTCCTAAAAACCAGAAGTCAGATCTAAAGGCTTAATTAAGGTTAACAGTTTGGGTCAGAATACTCTGGAGTCGATGCTGTGTACTTTGTGCTGCATCACATCAAGAAGCACACACTGGGGCGGCCAGTTAGCTCAGTTGGTTGGAGTGCAGTGCTCATAAAACCAAGGTTGCTGGTTCGATCCTCGCATGGGCCACTGAGCTGTGCCCTCCACAACTAGATTGAAACAACTATTTGACTTGGAGCTCATGGGTCTTGGAAAAATGTACTATTCCTCAACAAAAAATAAAAATAAAAAAAAGAACAAGAAGCACATCCTGTCAGGCTGACTACTATAAGTAATGCTGAGTCGGATTACTTGGTGACGGTGGTGACAGCCAGAGCACTCCTTTGTAAAGATATATTTTTCCCTTCGCTATCAGCAGATGATTTACAGGTGGGAGTGGGGGGTTAACATCTTGGCACCATGCAAATATCCTGTTCTCCAAAACTCTTTCACCTCATGATTTCAGCATCCATTCAAGATCTTTGCTAGATTCGGTCCTTTCACTGGTGACTTGCCATTCTGTCACTCCTTCTACATTTATAAGCTGGCATTCTTCTGTAAAGAAGAGTTTTCCATTATCAACTGGGAAAGAACTATAGTTCCTTTTTTAAAAATGCAGGGAACTGCTTAGCTCTTTCCTTTTAATTATTGATTTTTAGAGTAAAAAATTGGTCAGACAGCCACATCTAATGATGACATATGTATTTTTTCTCTCTCCTCACCCCTTTTTTGAGTGTAACTATGGACACACAGATTTTTATTTATTCAGTGTTTTACAATTACTTGATGCTCAGAATATCGTAAATTGTGCCAGCAGGAGCCCCTTTGAGCTGGTTCCACTGTTCTTCTACCATAGTATCTTTAGTCTCTGAGGACTACTTTGCTTTCCATCTTAACAAGATGCCCCAGTCAAGCCTATGCTCTTATGGGCTACATCACACAACCTTTCCTGGGGGGAAGTATGTGCCTATGGAGGGCTCGAAAAAACTGTGAGAAAAGTCCAGTGTCAAGAGCAGATGTGTCACTTCCTTGTGGTTATTAAATCCATTTTGATGTGGGGCTTGAAAGGATATTTAAGATGATCAGATCCAGCTACCCATGCTTAGCCAAGACTCCCCAACAAGTGGTCATTCAGCCTGTGGCCTAAACACCGTGACGCACGGGGCACTCGCCTCCCTGAAACATCCCATGCTGCCACAGAACTGCTTTATACTGAGTTGCCTGTCGCTCCCACCCATTCGCTCTAGCTTCTCTCCTTGGAGCCTATGGATGTCTGTGAAGCTCAGGCCTAAACGGTCCACTTAATGGTCTCTGAGGAACTCAGCCCTGAAGGACAATTTCCTCTTCTGTTCCCTCCCTCATATTTAAACAGGTGGGTTTATTTCCTGGATATGATGGGACTGATTTTCCAAATGCCCTACCATGACTCACAAGGCCCTACTGCCTTTCAGGCCCCTTGATACACTTACATAAAAACATGTAAATAGAGTATGGGCTGGGATTTTAATGTCTCCATAAATGAGATCCTTAAGTTTCACCTCAAACTCTCCCCAGTCCTGCTGCCTACATATAAATGGCTGCCACTCACAGCTAATTCTTCCTAGAATTCTGCACCCAGTTCATCTCTCCAATTCCCTGACAATGGTTTGGGCCCCCAGTTGACCCCTCTGACCCAAACCAATATGATGGTCTAACCTTTCCCAACCTCAGCTGCTCCTCACTTCCATCCACCCCATGGGTTCCTACCAGAGCAGCCATCCTGCAGCGCTTCCCTGCTTGGCAACCTCCAACTGTTTTACATCTGCAGCGTCCAGCACAGCAGCCAGCTTACAGACGGTGCTCAGTAAATATTGGTAGAGGGAGGGACTGAAGGAAGCCACAGGCTAGGCTGCTTCATTGCATGACTCAATTTGTACTGTTCACTGTTGCCAGGGGGAAATTTCCTTGAGTTTTAAACAAAAGCTATTTTACATAAAGCAATGTTTAGAAATTGGCTTAATGAACCGTTTTAAATTTTTAGTTCATCTGTATGAATAAATATATTTTTAACAGTATTTATTTGATAAACAGTTGTACAAAAATTCTGATTGCATCCATTCCCCTTAGTGCTCACCTTTCTAAAGAAAAACCTGTGACTATGAAGTAAGAAAGAAAATATAAACAGCACATTGTTCTGTGGGAAAATGCTTGGATTCAAAAAGAATCTAGAAAGAAAATCAAAGCAAAATAACTTCACAGTATGGTGACACATCTATTAATCATAAATCAAATATAACTGTCTAATCACTATGTTGTTTTATACACCTGAAACTAATAATAATAATAATAAAAACACTTAATTTGAAAACATAAAAAACCAAAACAAAAGCCAATGGCATCCTGGGAGGAAGTGGTTCAGTTGACTTTAGACACTGATGGTGGCACTGCAAGCTGGCTCAGGCTTTCTGGTAAATAATCTGGTCTTGCATAATAAGAACTATAAAACTTCTCATACTTTTGGGTCCAATGATTCAGCTGGAGGAACATACCTTAAGAAAATAACTTAAAGAAAAACAAATTTCTATACTATTTATATTAGTGACAACTAGGGCACATCTCAAATTCCCAAAATAGGAGGAAGACCAAGCTAACCATGTATCATCATGTACATCAACACAAAGATATGTTATGAAGTCACTTAAAATGACAAGCATATGGCTTATTTCAATAAATGGAGGTATACACTGAGTTTTAGCAACAGTGTTTATATTTAAGAACAATGGTTCTGCAATTAGACATTTCTTGCTTTGAATCCTACACTGCCTCCTCTACACTTTCAAGAAATGTTTCTCTAAGAACGGATTTGGACCATGTGGGACTTGCAAGCAGTTCCTTGCTCCAGAGGTGATGTGTGTATTCTTATCTGAACAGAAAAGAGAGATGGTAGAGAGCGGTCTCTTGCGTCAGACTGCCCGAGTTCACATCTCAGCACTGTCACTTGCTGGCCATGTGACCTTAGGCAAGTGACTAAACGCTCAACATTCCAGTTGCAATTCATGTGCCTAACATGGCTAATATTAGATGAATACATGGCTAATAATATGACCTACCCCATAAAGTTCTTACGAGGTTGAAATGAGACGAAGCCTGTAGAATGTTTAGCACAGTGCCTGACATGTAGCCAAGTTCTCATGTGAGCAATCTGGATCCTTCAATTAATATTTCTTCATCACCCACTAGGATACAAGCATCGCACCACATGTACTCACTACATTTAATCCCCACAAGAACCTTACAGGGTGAGTGTCGTTATACAAAAAAGTTACAGAAATGAGCTCAGAGCGGGGTCCATGTATATCAGGTGAGAAAAGGAGAATGCAAAAGGAGACTGCAAGATCTACCAACTATATCTATAACTACACTATAGAAAATGAAATGCACTTATACATTTGTAAATGATGCATATTTCAGCTTAATAATCATTAGGTCCACTTTGTTTAAAGTTAGTCAAGTTTCCTTGTGTTTTTAAGTAGAAGCAAGTAAGTGTGAATTGAGGACCCAGTCCCATTGACTTTACTGAGCCATGCCCTTCCTTCACCCAAGCAGGGACCTGGCAATGTATTAAATGTCACTTGAGTGCTGGCTTCTGACCAGCGAGTGCTTACCTGGAGGAGATAAAGGAGTCCTGGGACAAACAAGGTGAGCGGGTACAGAGACTGGTATGTTGCTAAGGCAAGAAAAATAGCACTGAGGAAGGCACTACCTGTAAAAAGAAATAAATATATAGAATAACCCAGCCTCATCAATCAGGGTGAGATTCAGTGGGTCCCCCAAAACAAGAAATTTTCCATAACTTTTGGAATAATCACCTGCCAAATGGCTGCTGGTACACAAGCTGCTATGCAAACTCACACAGAGAGCTTCTTGGCTTGAATTCCGATGAAAGGAAAACAAGGAAGTCAAAACCATTTACCTTTAGCAACCTGAGACACCACAGGCATTATTTCTGGAAAAACATTCAGACCCAGAAAGACTTTACAAAATTTTGGCCCAAAGATGAATAAAAGGATCGTCTATTAACACCCATGTCCTATTTCACTTACCAATTGATTAAGCCCACAATTATTGCTTATGCTATTCAGAGCTCTGAAACCTATCCCTTTGGACATTGCATCACCCCATCACTATTTTTATAACACCCTTCCTTATGTGCTATTTTCAGGGCATGTGCTTTTTTTTTTTTTCCAAATTAAAATATATTAATTTTTAAAATAATGTCCCCATTCCCTACATAAAATGGACCACTATAAAATCATTAAACAGGACGTTATAAAGAATTGCAATGACATGAAAAGATGTTTATAAACCCTATTAAGTGAAGGTTATAAAAGAGCTATATACTATGATTTCTTTAAAAATGTGCATAAACACATTTTCATAAAAAGGCTAAAAGGCTAGGAGAGCTCACTGTGATTATCTCTGTGTGTTAGGATCATGGATGATTTTTTATTTTTGCTTCTCTGTATTTTCTAAAATGTCTATAATGAACATGCTTTATTTTTGTTATAAGAAAAAAACTGATTTCTTCTTTAAAAATACAAATAGGTATTCCCTTTCAGATGGTTTGAGACAACAAAGAGGCTAAAGAAGACTAGTTTACAACAGAAGTTTCAAAGTAGCCCAGAAATCAGTAGTCTGCAATTGATGGTCCAAGGCTCGTATCTTACAATGATAATGTTTCATAAAATGACAGTATCCATCATCACTCTTACTAACGTGGGGTCCACTGTTCACTGAAAGTAACAGACATCCTCTCCACAGTGCCTCCTAAGAGAAAGAACTAGTCACCCCACTCAGTCCGAGTAGTTTTACCCTCTCACCCCAGCTCCAGAGACAAACAGAAGGAGACAGATTATCCATAGGATTTTTTTGCCCACCAAAGTTTATGTACTTGAAACATCTAAGAGACACCTCGGAAGAGTGAGGGTTACAAATGTGACTATTTCAGAGGAGAAGGGGTGGAGAGAAAAGAACTGTGAGTGCTCCATCCCTCAAACCAAGGGAACTCACCAGTGAGGAACAATTGCTGTTGAAAGAAAGTGGAAGGGAGGCAGAGAAAGGAGGAAGCTGGAAGTAAATACCAAAGGACAGAATTCTGTGGAGCGGGCTGTCTCGCCGCATTGATTAGTTCCAGGCATGATAGCCTGTACCCAGGGTATGTGTAAATAGGATGGAGCAAGGACAGAATCATGCCCAGCAAAGCTATGCCACCAGCAGAGGCCCCCATACATCTGTTCAGCCACAGATGCTTAGAACTTGAACCAGGTCAACCCTGAGATAGGGAGATGACAGTGGTGGCATCCTGGAGCCCAACAACTAGGGTGAGCTCAGGATTCCTTGACTTGGCCAACAACCTGAATGATATTTTATGAGAAACTGGCTAAGAAAGGGGAAAAAGAACTAAACAAACCATTTTCATTAAACATGGTTTTCTACAGAGATTGGGAGAGAGAAGAGGCCCACGTATCTGTTACCAGAGGAGGGAAGCTAATGTTCCAGCTCCATCCATTCTCACAAATGTGGTGAAAACAAACATGACTTTCACCTCCCTCTCCCCACAGAAGACACCAGCGAGTGAAATAAACACAGCTACCTCCTGCCCTAATTGCTTGAGATCAGTAATTACTTGTCTGGAGTAGCTAACTCTTTATAAGGCCCAGGATAGAAGAAAGGGCTCATAGCCTAACAGAATGTTCTGGTGAGTTTTAGAATACTCGCTCCCAAGATCAGAAAGAAGCAGTCTTCCTTCCTTGGATAAAATCATTAGGAAGGAAAAATCTGTTCCGTCTGCTCTTCTCTCTGCCAGTAAGTGGCATCAACGTCCCCCCAGACACTCCAGCTATCCCCCACCCCCCAGCTCCCACACTCCTCCCACCAGGCACCATGCTGTTGATCCACCTCTGGAACATGCATCACTGCAGCTCTCGCTCTCCTCATCTCTCACCAGGAGTCTTCAGCAGCCTCTTCCTTCTCCTCCTCAATGGTCTCCCCAAGTCCCTCCCATCTAATCTATCCTACATAGAAGTACCATAAGGATCCTTTCAAAACACAGTTCAGGGCCGGCCGAGTGGCACATTGGTTAAGAGTTGGCTTGGGACGCTGGCTCTGAGCAGCAGGACCCCGGTTCAGATCCCAAATGCGGGCCAGTGAAACTGCGCCCTCTATAGCTAAGACGGTGAACAACAGCTCGACCTTGAGCTGGGCTGCCGTGAATTGCCGGCAACGGCCTAGGCTGCAGTGAAGCTACAGTGGGCTTCCATAAGCTACCGTGAGTGGCTGGCAGCCAGCATGAGCGGCTGTGAGCCGCCGTGAGCAGCCGTCCAATGGCTGGCAAGCGACTGCCTCACCTGGGAAGAGCGCAATGATAATACCAACATGGGCCAGTGAAGCAACGTCCTCCACAACTAGACTGAAGAACAA